AGCTGATGTGTTTGCGGGTGTTTGTATAGTGTGGTGAAATGGTCATTGCGGAAGAGAATTGATACGGATCCAGGGGTCAGCCTGGTTTTGAGGTGCTCAAGCCCGAAATCGCTCAATTGCGTTGCGTGATCGACTTCGACAAATTGTTGGATCGTTTGAATGTCGTACATAGACTGCTCTTCCTCGGGGGCCAGTGAGCCTCCACGGAAAACCTGATCTTCCAATTCTTCTTTCCGGAAAGGCAGCAGCTGTATGTCTTCGTAGTACTGAGCTGCTCGCGAAAACGCTGCGTGAGCTTCTGTACTGGGGTTTGCCACCCAACCGTGTATCAGGGGGAGGCCAAATGTATTATAGAACTGAATATCACTCGTCTCGTAAAAGCGACCAGCATTGTCTTCCGGTTCCTGAGTAATGTTAGCAATAGTATGATAATGAGGAAGTAATCTCATACCAATGTGAGGCGTGGATTGACATTCATGCCCGTATGCAACATCGTCAGGAACCGACTAAGAGCCTCAATATCCGGAAACTCATCATCAGGGCCTAGGTACATGATCAATTCTTCAAACAACGCTTGAATCAGCAACCCAAGAGATATCTGTTCTCTTGTCTGCAGAGCCTTGACGACGGGTGTTTGGGCGTCTTCGGCCGAACTGATTACAAGCGCATTAACAAGTGCCAGTAAAGGACATGGTCCATTTTCATTCTGGGACAGAATTGGCGAATTGCGTAATTTCCCGGTGATATCGGTCCAGTTAATGTGTCTGATTGCATAAGTTTCTGCCCTTTGTTCTGCTTGTCTGTTTGCGTCACCGGCACTTGTTGTGGTGCGCTTCTCGGTGCCCTCTGAGCGATCTGGACGCTGGGGAAGAGGTGGTGCGGCGTCTGATGACCCAGTTCGCGTCCCACGAGCCTCAGCTACATCAGACTCATAAACAGACGAAGTTGACCGAGGCAGTACCTCTGGCTTGCTAGAGTCAAAATCGATGAGCACATTGGAGGACTGCGTTGTCACAGAGGAAATTGGGTCAGATGGGGTGTTTGGCTGATACTGTGGGATCGATCTGTCATAATCCTGCGATGTTTGGGTGGGGTATGGCTGATATTCATCGGGGGAAGCGTATTGGGGTTGGTATTGGTGTTGGTATTGGAGTCCCGCAGCATTTCCCGGGGCCCCGTGGGTATCATAAGATTGGCCATCAGCCATATAGTTAGGAACTTGGTCAGTGTATGATTTTTGCGGAGCTTGCGCTTGTGGCTCCTGGACATAATGGCCATTATACGGATACTCGGGCTGCGAAGCAGTAACGGGATGCTCTTCTGCCCACGCTGAATCTGAGGGCTGCTGGTCCAGAAGAGACAAGCGGGCAGTCATCGGGATGATTCCCTCGCCTGAAAAGTAGGTCAGTCCTATTCTAGCTGCATTGCGCTCGGCAATTGTAGACAGTTTCATACCTTGGCTCAAGGCATCACTGTGCAGAGAAGTCGCCTGTGAAGCACGAGTATCCTCGGCTTGCTGAGCCTGATATGATTCGGCTTGCCACGGATTGCTTTCAGACTGTCTTGTTTTCAAAAACGGGTTATTAGATCGCAGTTGAGTTGGTGTCTGTCGGACATGCTCCCATTCATCGGCCTCTTCCTCTGGCTGCCATTCGTTTGCCGCCATCCTGCGCTGAGTACCAGCTACAAGGATAGATGGTACACGGTCGCCTTTGTTCTTGTTAACCGGCTCTTCCTGGATTCCGTTGTGGCTTGCTGGCGTAGATCCTGAGGGGGTGTACTCTTGATACTGTTGATCCGGTTTCTCCACCAACTCATCGGCCCACGGATTCTGCGCTTCACTGTGCGCGGTCCCTACCGGCGACCGCTGAGCTTGTTCGAGCGTCATCAGGTCAAACGCAGGCGACGTATGAAGATCCGGCGAGTAAATCGAATCCTGCGATGGAAGACGACGAGGATAGGGAGAGCTTTGTGCTCGTCTCGGACGTGTCAACCGCTTCGTCGGAGAGACAGGAGAAACGGATTTGGCAGTAGGAGAGATGGAAAGACGACGATTAGGTTCTTTCACGGAGTTAAGACGAGGAGGAGGCTGCTTGCGCAAGACCATCAAGGCAGAAGTGTTCAGTGTGGCGTAATCTGTAGTAAGCAGTGAGGATCACTATGAAGAGTGGTGTTCAGATAAGATAAAAGGCAATTCGATCAAGTTAATAAACGGTATTGATACCGCGATTAGCAGCAGAGAAGGGTAATAATCATACTATGCCTGAATACACCTATAAACAAGTATATAATACGAAAATGAGGCAGTATACAACCTGCCAAAGACTCTCGTATGAAGGCAGGCACCCAGATTCAATGCCGGCGATCTGCTCTATATAACACGGCCATTGCAGGCGGTGGCCAGTCAAGGCGGTGAATGTAAGGTATGCTCTCTTTGGTGGTGTAATTTTGGTATTGTACGGTAACCCCGCAGCGACATTCACGTCATTGATTATAATTAGCCACATACAGCCATAGTATGCTTCAGCCACAATATGTTAAGCGGTGAAACAGTAATTCCGGATAATACGGTACCATACCGCCTTTGGAATAGCGCAGGCGCAGAAGTTGATCACCGCAGAAGAAAAAAAGAATCATTGATGATAGAACCTTGACTGATTTGGCAGATTTCCTTATTTGGTTGTTGAATAGCATGCGATTGGCATAATAGACTCATTTGTTATCCCTTGAAATCAGTGTTTCACGCCATGCACTCATATATCCGTCCTTATCAACATGTCGCCTTTCGGCTTCCGTCTGATGCGACGAGAATCATCCACCTTATACCCAATACGTGCGTCCTCACCTTTGGGCTTTGCTCCTGAGTTTAACTAACTGAATTGGTGCTCTAGAGAGGTGTCCCTAGGAAAATACGGAAACTTTCCCTCGAACCAAATCATCGGACGCCCGTTCTACCTCACATTCGAGATCTTCGACAACCCCACCGAAGAAAACGGCAATCGCTTGCGCATCATCACCGCAGCAGAGCTCCATGCGGAATCGTTAATAACTGAGGGCTCAGGGGAGGCTGACGGAGAGGGCGACGAGCCGGACGTGAGCGGCGATGCCGAAACACCCATGCGGACGAATCGCGAGATCGTCGACGATACATCTACCCAGAAAATGACACTGCAGGAAATCGAGGAATTGAAGAATGGATCGAGCGACGCCGGTAGAGATATCATCGCGAAACTGCTCGAATCGCACTCCGCTCTGGATCAGAAGACCGCATTCTCGCTCGCAAAGTATACGCTGCGCAAACGGAGGAAATATATGAAGCGGTTTACCGTGCTGCCTTTGGATGTCAGTCTGCTCACAAACTTTATGATGGAAGAGAAGGATGCGGCCCGGATTATGGAATTGCGGGATGAGTTGATTGGTCTGGTTGGGTGCTGGGGGAATGTACATCACGGCGGGAATGTGTCAGTTGGGCCAAAGCCCAATGGTCGTTATCTTGTTGTCGACGAGACAGGAGGCTTAATAGTTGCGGCCATGGCGGAGAGGATGGGGATCCTTTATCCCCATGACAATGAAGACGAAGAGTCAGAGGACGAATCCAGCGAAAAGCCGGCCGAGGCGACATCGTCCGCCAAAGAACGTCCCAGCCAAATGTCCGCATCTGGGAATACCATCACCATCCTCCACGCCCACACACAACCCAACCTATCTCTCCTGAAATACTTCGGCTACGACCAAGACAGCCCTGACGAATCGCACCCTCTATTCACCCACCTGAAAACCGTATCTTGGATGCAACTCGTTGACCCCTCATCCGACCCCATCTACGCCAACGAACCCGAAATGATCCCAGACGAGACACTAGCCACCTACAAAGCCAACAAACGCGGCACATACTACCGCAAGCGCAGCCGCTGGCAGCGCGTCCAGAACGTCGTCGACGAAGCCCGCGCCGGTGAATACGACAGCCTCCTCGTCGCAACCCTAATGGAACCCGCCAGCGTCCTAAAACACGCCGTCCCCTTACTCGCAGGCTCAGCACAAGTTGCCGTCTACTCGCCCACAGTCGAGCCTCTAACAGAGCTAATCGACCTCTACTCAACACCCAGACGAACAACATTCATCAACGCGAGACGGGAACTCATTGAAGCCAATCAACGCGAAAACCAAGAAAACAACACCGACGACCCGGTTGACCTTTCTGAACTCGAAAGAGAATTCATCGTTGACCCTTCGCTCTTACTTGCACCGACTCTGGAGACGGCGCGTATACGGCCGTGGCAGGTCCTTCCGGGGCGCACACATCCTATGATGTCCGGACGGGGTGGTGCTGATGGTTACGTTTTCCATGGTATCCGGACGTTCCCGGCACAGTCGAAGATTGAAGCTGCTGGGAATCCGAGCCGGAAGAAGAGGAAGGTAGAGGCGAATCCTGTACCATTGCCGGAGGTGGATGTGGAGATGAAGTCGTAAACCCCCTATTTCTAGCTGTTAACTATGTATATACAAAAGTTGTTCAGTACAGTCTCTGCCTGCCTTCCCAGTTCTGTGTATAGAGTCGGGGCCGGAATCACTTTAGTCCTGGGTTCTCCACATTCCATTTATAGTTGGCTCTCCTATGTACTCTGTACTATCATCCAACTACTACCATCGACTCACTCCATTATAATAGCTGAACCCGGTGCTCTTTGATCATCTCTTGCTGCTTATATTGTCTCAGTGCCACTTTTATGGTTCGTTAGAATGAAAATGGCCATACACAAGTACAAGCATATGGTGGAGATATCAGTTGCAGACCAATAGCCACTTAATACTTTGCCTTTAGAACCTATTCCCCTAGTCATGGTTGATAGTGCCTAGTAGTATGATAGTGTTATACGAAGATATATGCAACGCAGTACTTCACTGAAGTATTATACCCCATTCAGTAGTAGACGGATTGCCGGTCTATGAAGGTGACGTTCATACTATCCCGTACGCGCAATCTCAGAGACTTGGCCGGAGCGAAGGTGTAATAAGGTGTATCAATTAACTCGCCTAGCTTTACAGAACATGAAAGGAAAAAAGAAACAACCTTCATACGCTGAAATATGATCAACGAAAGCAACGTCCAGTATCTACCATCTAGAAGCTCTTGCCCATGAACTTTCTCTTTGCGAAGCTGAGCCACCACTACACACTATTAGAGGATACCCAGGCATTATTGTGATAAGAGTGGTAGCTTACCTTCGAAGGACCAACGCCACCGGGGTATAATCTCGCATGCAGACGAATAGCAATCTCCTGTCGTACTTGGGCAATGTACCTGCAACCAATCAGTTCCTGGATATAGATAGCATCACGGAAGATAGTGAACATACGATCTCAACGTCTCCGCATCCTGACGATCCCTCGGAGGCTCAAAGGCCTGATTAAACGGAAACGACACGTCACCGGGAATCGCGAAATGATCGAGAGCAGCGTTGATAAGAGCCTATCCTCATTAGCCCTATCCATCACATCCCATTCCAACAGCCTCAGAGCCAGAACCCTACCTTCTCAGCCTCCCTCGCCGCCATCGTCGGCTTCACCTTCCCCAAACACTCGCTGATAAACAGCGTTCCGTAGATAAGCATGCGGTCCGCGGGGCCATTGATCTCGAAGTTGCGGAAGAGCACGTTGGCGCGGAAGAGCGAGAGGATCTCGTCGATGCAGTCGTAGGACTCGCTGTCTGGAGGGACGTCGATGTCGAGGGTGTTGGGGGGCAGTGGGGGGAGGGTGTATGCGGGGCCGCGGGTGCGGGTGCGGATGGGGAGGACGGGGAAGTTGCCTGTATCGTAAGATTGGGAATTAGTTGGATGGATGATGGGGAAAGAGGTGTGGAAGGTGAGAGTGCTGGTTGGGAGCTATGCGCATCGTACCTATCACGGGGACATCCCGGTCCTCGAGGAAGATGGAGTGGTATGCCTATCAGGGGTTAGCTATGAAGCTATACAAGTCGAGGTCACATGGACAGGAATCGCATACCGGCATTTCGAATGATGTAGGACAAATTCAATCCCTTAGCACCAGTCTAGAGGATTGTCGTTGTTGTTGTTATGGAGAGTCGTGGGCGGTGGTGCTTGTCTGTCCGCACGGCATGTCATCACCGCCCAGACCAACACCAAACGGAGACGCCCAGCGGAGGATTTTCCGGCCCCGAAGCTCTTTACGCGCGGGCAACTTGAACGCGTCGACTTCATTTTGGTCGTGATTGAATTTCCATATACGCTACTTAGATTATTCTCACCACTAATTCGTGCAAAATGTCGGACTACGAGGATAATATGGACGTGGACGTGTCCAAGGACGTTCAGTTTAGCTCGTCAGACGCCAATGGAAAGGCAAAGAGGACTGCAGCTGATTTGCCGGTGGAAGCTCAAGATAACTTGCCTTGGTGAGGATCCTTGGTCTGGTTAATGATAGGATATGCGGCTGACTCTGGCAGGGTGGAAAAGTACCGTCCAGATACCATTGAAGATGTCTCCGGTCACCAAGATATCCTTGCGACGATTAACAGATTCGTTGAATGCAATGTACGCTTCTTCCTATCAGATATTCAAGCTTTTATACTGAGATTGTTAGCGACTGCCACATCTACTCCTCTACGGGCCCCCAGGAACCGGCAAAACATCCACGATCCTAGCCCTTGCGAGACGGATATACGGGACCAAGAACATGCGACAGATGGTGCTGGAACTCAATGCCAGTGACGACAGAGGCATTGACGTTGTCCGCGAACAAATCAAGACTTTTGCCAGTGAGTACAGTCCAGGCTTCTGTGGTGAAACGAGGCTGATCGCTTCTAGGTACCAAGCAGATTTTCTCAATGGCACCGCCGACAACGTCCACCGGATCATCCCTCGCATCATTCAAGTTGATCATTCTGGATGAGGCAGATGCCATGACATCGACCGCGCAGATGGCTCTTCGTCGGATTATGGAGAGATATACGGCCAACACCCGGTTTTGTGTTATTGCCAACTACACTCATAAATTGTCGCCGGCTCTTTTGTCGCGGTGTACTCGGTTCCGCTTTAGTCCGTTGAAGGAGGCCGATATTCGATCGTTGGTGGACAAGGTGGTTGAGAAGGAGAAGGTGAATATCCAGTCAGAGGCGGTGGATAGTTTGGTTACTCTGAGTAAGGGTGATATGCGTCGGGCATTGAATGTGCTTCAAGCATGTCATGCGAGCAGTAAGTTACCTCCAGATACAACAGTGAGAAGTACCACTGACAGCGACAGGCCTACCACTCCCAGTAAAGAACGCACCGAAGGACCAACCCCGTCCAGAACCAGAGACTATCACCAACGAGACGATTTACGACTGCATTGCCGCACCGCATCCCTCAGATATCCAAGAAATCATGTCTACACTGCTTTCGACTAGCGATGTCACATCCTGCCTCAATACCCTGGATACGATCAAGATCAACAAAGGTCTGGCTCTGGCGGATATCCTGTCCGCTCTGGCAGAGCAACTACAACAATTGGAGGTACCTGCGCAGACGAGAATTACTTGGCTGCAGGGTTTGGCGGAGATTGAATGGCGGTTGTCTGGTGGAGGGTCGGAAACTATGCAGACGGGAGGTATGGTTGGTGTTGTACGGAATGGGTGTGAGTTAATGGGTGCATAAATGATTATTACTACAGGTAGAATAGCATATAGAGTAATACGAGTCATGATTATATATGTCTACGTTCTATGGAATTAGTTCAGTGATGTCTGTCTGGTACTGTTGTCTAATTTCATATTTTTATCTATGCCTACATATCACTATGTCGTTAATTTCTTCAACAATCCGATGTGGTGTAACGGCTAGCATCGCTCGTTTTCATTACAGATCCGAGCAGATCGGGGTTCGATTCCCCGCATCGGAATTTCTTTTTGTCTTTTTTTTTTTTTTTTTCCCGCCTGAATATCTACTCTTCTTCCCCCCTTTTCTTTCTTTCTATTTTCTTCTTAATTATAATAATGCAAGTGACTGTAATCCGTGACGTACCCAATACTCATGTCTAGCCTTATCAAGCGGAACACTCCGATCCCACCGTCTTGGCTGCTTGGCTGCATCGGGATATATATCTTAGCCGTGCATGATAATGGTTATTATCATGGGAATTGACCACTTAGGACCCTTCCCTGCTCCGAAATGCAGGGTCTAGAGCAAAGACCCCTCAATTGACTAACAGACTCTCTTTGCCGCGGACCCCGTTTGTAAAAAGTCATTATGACAGTCACCACCATTGAGTTTGTTATTTAACAGGCCGGATCCCTCACGACGTTAACTCAATTGCTGGACCTCTACTGTTCCTCAGACCTTGAGTACCAGTGCAGTGATACTCACCATGTGGTCCTCTAGTCTTCTACTGGCCCTACTGGCCCCCATGGCCCACTCCGCATTGGCCGAAAAAGTCCTAGGAGCATACATCTTCGCCCGCCACGGCGATCGAACCGCCAAAGCCCTGGGAAACACCCACCTCACAGACCTGGGCTACAACGAGGTTTACCTGACAGGCAGCTACTATCACACGCGCTACATTTCCCCTTCCTCACCACTGCAAATCGCAGGTATCAGCGAACCAACCGTCAACACGAAGCAAATCACGGCCTCCACGCCCTCAGACGAGGTCCTCCAGAACTCAGCGACGGGGTTTCTGCAGGGTGTGTATCCGCCCGTTGGCAACTCTGCGAATGAGACGCTGCGGAATAGTACGACCGTGCAGTCGCCGTTGCATGGGTACCAGTTGATTCCGTTGGGGACTGTGAGTTCGGGGACGAATAGTGAGGATTCGACGTGGTTGCAGAAGGCTAGTGGGTGTGAGGCTGCGACGGCTAGTAGTAAGGGGTTTTACAGCTCAGCTCTCTACGACGATCTACTCGGGTCGACCAAGGATTTCTACATGTCGCTGTCGCCGATGTTGAGCAGTACGTTTGAGGAGGCGCAGATGTCGTTTAAGAATGCGTATAAGATCTTTGATTATCTTAATGTCGCGTTGATTCATAACTCCAGCAGTGAATTTCCGGCGTCAGAGTTGTTGACGGATGGGGTTTACAACCAGCTTTTGACGCTGGCTAGTACGTCTGAGTACAATCTGGCGTACAACTCGTCTGATGAAATCCGGGCCATCGAGGGAATGAGTTTAGCCGGCGAAGTGCTGGAGGGACTCGAGGATATCGTCACTTCCCAGGGAAAGTCCAAGCTGAACATCCAATTCGGCTCCTACGGCACGTTCATGTCCTACTTTGGTCTTGCACAATTACCCTCTGTGAACGTCAACTTCACCGGAATCCCCGACTACGCCTCGTCGATGGCCTGGGAGCTAGTGACCAACTCGACCTCTGACGCGTTCCCTGCTGAGTCCGAGATCAACGTACGGTTTATCTTCCACAACGGAACTATCACCGGCTCATTGACACCTGATCAATACCCGCTGTTCGGGCAATCGAGCACTGTCATCCCGTGGTCCGACTTTGTCGAGCAGACCAAGAAAATCGCCGTCACGACTCAGGACCAGTGGTGTCAGGCTTGCGGGAACACTGATAGCCAGTGCCCTGCTGCGTCTGTCCAGTCTACCAGCAGCTCTGGCGGTATGTCCAAGGCCGTGGCGGGTGTTGTGGGAGCTATGGTGACACTCGGAGTGATTTTGATCCTCGAGGCGTTGTTCTTCTTCGTGGGTGGATTTACGATTGCCAAGAAGAGAAAGGCGGATACTGGGTCTGAGATTAGCAGTGAGCATGTAACGGATAAGACGCCTTGACAGTCTCAAGAGAAGTCAAGAATGAAAAATGATGGTTACGAGTAATGATTTAATGGCAGTTGGTCACGTGGAGTGGAGCTTAGATAGACTCGGCCCTAACCAAATATAAGCAGTCTGATTGGCCACTCGGTAATTAAGCTTGGCTGCCACCGTTCATCTTATTTTATCCGATCTCCAGGAGTTTCTGTCAGGGGTTGATGCTCACCAGTGTACTGTGTACTGTGTGTACTATGCACGCTGCTTGGGATATCTTCATGAATGTCAATGACAACACGACCAGCATAAGTACCACCAACACACTCCCTGATCCATGGTGGATTACCCCAATAGCGCAATACTATCCCGTAGCGCCCCATCCATGACGCGTACGGGTGAGATCAACCAAGAATTTTCCGTAGCGGGGGCGGATTCTGGAAGGCCTGCTCTCCGGATCACTGGGATGTTGTACCGGGTATTTGAATAGGAGACATCGTCTGTCAATCCTGCAATGAGACACTAGATACAATGGCCAGGACATCTTTGCGGCTGGGGTTGGCTTTTATACTCCTGATATCGGTGCTGTGGTTTCGGTCGATGTTGGTGTCGCTCTGGAATGATGGATTGCATAGTATTCCTGTGGATGTGAGGAATGGGACTGCGTCTGCGACGCCCGAGAAACCGGATCGCGTGGTTGTTGTGGGTAAATTGAAGCATGAGGATACGGATTGGGTGATTGAGGATCTCGACGAGTAGCTCTTCCCCCCTTCTCACCAGACGAAAAGACAAAAGCTAATATAAGCAGCTGGCAACACGCCATCTACACAGTCGACGACCCAACGGCCCCCCTAACCGTCCCCAAAAACAAAGGCCACGAAGCCAACGTCTACCTCCAATACATCCTCGACAACTACCACGCCCTCCCCTCCACAATCGTCTTCCTCCACAGCCACCGCGACGGCTTCCCATTAGCCTGGCACACCGAATTCGACACCCACTCGAACCCCATAACCGTCCAACACCTGCAAACCGACTTCGTCCAGCGCAATGGCTACGTCAACATGCGCTGTAACCCAAACCCGGGCTGTCCGAACGAACTCCTACCCCTGCGTAATCCGCCGGATCCCATGCGCGGCCCGGAGTATGTGTTTGGGAGTGCGTGGGAGCGGTTGTTTAATAATAGTAATGTGCCGGAGGTTGTGGGGGCTGCTTGTTGTGCGCAGTTTGCGGTGTCGAGGGAGCAGGTGCTTAAACGGGGGTATGGGGAGTATGAGTGGTTTCACTCGTGGTTGATGGAGACGGATTTGGCGGATGATATTAGTGGGAGGGTGTTGGAGTATTTGTGGCATGTTATTTTTGGGAAGGAGGCTGTTTAGTGAGTTCCCTCCCCTTTGAGATTGAGCTTGTGGTTGAAGTGAAGATGCTAACTGAGTAGTTGCCCCAATATGGAACAGTGTTATCGCGATGTTTATGGCGTTTCGGATTATTGATACCCTTTAATTATATAGTATGGAGATTTGTATAATTGTACAATAGTATGAATGTAATTGAGTTGTTCTATAGAGTAGAGAGTGACATCACGGGACCGCCTTTACCCAAAAGAGCTCAAAACTTCAAACTCCGCCGATTCTCACACATACACTACACTAGCAGCGCTTTTGCGCGACATTTTTTTGAAAAGGCGGAATAAATTGCATTACGGTTGCTTTTGTTGATCGACCCGAAAATCGAAATTCAAGCCACGCCCTCGTCTTTCCGCGGACACCCTCACGCGCCATAACAAAAACAAGACACCAAAGACACCACCCACGAGACCCCTATCATAATCACATCCTCTTGCGACTACCGTCGCAATGTCCGCCCACTACTCAACAGAACCAAACCCAACCGCCTCCGCCACCCTCCACACAACCTTTGGCCCCCTCCAAATCTCCCTCTTCGCCTCCCAAACCCCCTACACAAGCCGCAACTTCCTCCAACACTGCACCGACAACTACTACGCCGGCACAATCTTCCACCGCATCGACCCGGACTTCGTCATCCAAGGCGGTGACCCCACAGGCACCGGCTCCGGCGGCACCTCCATCTACGAATACCCCGAGTTCGAAACGGACCCTGACGCGCGGGACCCGAACGAGAAAATCGTCCTTCGCGATGAACTTCATAGCAGATTGCGGTATAATCGGCGCGGACTGGTGGGGATGGCGAAGAGCGAGGACGGGACGTATGGGAGTCAGTTTTTCATCACGCTGGGGAATACGGAGAGGGAGTTGAATGGGCAGTGTACGCTTTTTGGGAGGGTGGAGGGGGAGAGTATTTTCAATGTGTTGAAGATTGCGGAGGCGGAGAGGGTGGAGGGCACTGAGAGGCCGGTTTATCCAGTTAAGGTTATTGGTTGTGAGGTTGGGGAGTTGGGGCCGTTGGAGGGGAAGGTGGTTAAGAGGCAGGTTACTGCTGCACCTTCGAAGGACGAGGGGAAGCCTGCGGCGAAGAAGAAGAAGAAGGGTGGCAAGGGGGGTAAGACATTGTTGAGTTTTGGGGGTGATGAGGGTGATGAGGAGCTTCCTGTACGGCCTGCGAAGCCGAAATTCAATCCTAAGCTTGTGACGGATACGAAGCTTCCAGGGGCAGATGAGACGAACCAGAGACCGGAGACACAGACAAGGAAACGCCCTCGCTCGCCTTCGCCTAAGCGTCCTGCTCCGGAGAAGAAACAGCCAGACCCAGCGACTCAAATCCCGCTCCCTGACCCAGAATCACCAGACCGCTCGCCAGCACCGGAGCCTCCGACAAAGGCGTCGAAGCTCGACCGTACGAAGGCGGAGATTGAGAATCTCAAATCATCTATGCGCCGGACAGCCACCACAGGACCGGTCGAAGGCCCAAAGAAATCCGCCCTGGAAGCCATGATCCCTGAGACATCCATCCGAGGCCGCAAGAGGCCACCACCCGGCGCTGTTGGGAGCGGCACGAACGGTGTAGCGGGATTCAGCAGCACAGCCGAAGACGAAACCCTGAAAATCTTCAACGCCTTCAAGGCCAAGCTCGAAAACGCAGACTCTACCACCAAACCACACAAGCGCGACACCACCACCAAGACCAAAGACACAACAACAACACGCAAGACAGAAGAAAAAGAGGAAGAACCCGAAGACGACGAAGCTCAACTCTGTGACCTCCACTTCATCGCAAACTGCCAATCCTGCCAATCCTGGGACGACCCCTCAGTTACCAGAAACAACGAGAACGACCCCGAAGCCGACAAAGGCGAGGAGGGCTGGCTATCGCACCAACTTCGCTTTGGAAAGGATAACCTGGGCAAAGATGCGAAGTGGAAGCGCGAACATCCTGACGACGTGGACTCGCTTATGGTTATTGACCCGAGAGAGCGGGAGAAGGAGATTGTTGGAGGGAAGAGCGGAGGGAAGAAGGGGTTGGCGAGGGATCGGGAGAGGGAGAGGAAGAAGGAGAAAGCTGGGGATTTGGAATGGGGGCGTGGGAGGTAGTATCATTCAGAGGGAGTACTTATAGACAATCCTATCTTGTAGCAATAGAGGCTAATACAGAACGTGTCTAATGGATCCCCAACTCAAATAGACCGCACAATATCAACCAGAGTCTGCACATCGAGGGCAACGTTCTTCCCTTTCAAACCGCTCTGATCCAACAATGCCCCCAAATCAATTACAAGCGGTAGATCCCCAGTTGCGCCGGACGCCGTGATTCTGACCGTCTGAACAACATACGCCCCCCCCCCAGGCTCTTTAACCCTGCACATCTCCAACCCAACCATCTCACACCACCTATCGACAACCAAGAGCATGACAACCCTTAAATCCTCCTCCGAACTCCCAAACTACCACCTAGAATCTTCCCTCAACCTCCCCAGCGACCCCGGAACACCCGTCGCCATAACAAGAGTCGGCCATCCGGATTCCCCACCAATCCCCCCCTCACTGTCGCAGCGGAATAAAGCACTTATCTACACTCTTCCCACATGTCGGATTCGTGAGGGTAGGGCTATAATGGAACACAGTCTCGCACCTACCCAGACTTTATTCCAGTGAAAGGCCCATCTCCCGACACTTGGCCAGGATTCTCCCTGAGAACCGCATCGCGGCAGATCCGTGGGTGCTTGAGGGGATTATTTTGAGGAGGCCTGTTGTTCCTGAGAATGTGAAAAGGAAGGGGGTTCCATCTAAGGCGTTTTTGTCTCTGGCCAGTCGCTCCTGTACGCGCTTTGTATATTTAACACTAAAATATATTGGTTTGCTTCTGAGTCGTTTCTGGGTGAGGTTAGGTGCTGGGAGAGGGTGGTGGTTGTGTGGTGGAGGGATTGGAGGGTTATGTAGTTTGGTGGGAGGTGGTTATGTTTGAGTCTGGAGGTGCTTTCATTTTGTAGATGTATGCTCTGGGCTATATGAGGAAGAAAGGAAGGAAAAAAGAAACTATATTAAAGATAAAATTGAATAAGAATAAGAATAAAACCCTAATCAATACTATGACGATTGGTTGACTATTAGATCATTTGTGGGTTGAGGCCGTTAGCCCTACCCTACCTAGACCAATCGAATATTCCATGAACAAGTTCTTCCGACCCTCTCGTAATCCCAAAGGAAGAAAACCTGAATAGCCAGAACTGTAAAAATGCACGCCATGCAATGAGTCTGAGTTGCCCAGCTGCATTATGCTGCAGGGTTGTGTGAGGACAGAGGCTTGCGAGTTTCCTCCATGCACAAACGCACAAACATACATGTGCGATTCCCAAGAGATCTGATACCTGGAGGGGTACTTACCTCTGCTGCTTCATTGGAGCAGGAAGATTGAAGAAAGGGCCCGATAAACTGGTTTCGCGTTGAGCGATTTCGGCATGCCTTTGTCGTATGTTTGCTATTTCTTCCTGGTGTTCTTCGCTGCTAGCATCGAAATTGAGACAATGCTAATATGGTATTATCGGGCTTATGGACCCTTGTCATCTCGTTCACTTCCAGAGGCTGTGGCAGACTTGGTATGGAGATGATACTCGTTGAACCCAGCTAACGCTGCCGATTCCGCGTCAACAAGGAGCAGTATCGGACACCTGGAATTATAGAGTATTACTACGCAAAAGGCGTCAATTAAGGGAAAAGCAGGTCTGAGGAGGAAGTTCGCGCTAGTTGTTCAGACGTTATGTTTAGACATTAAAAACCTTTTGACGTGGTCAAGCTCGGCTGCGGTACAGCCTAAGAACTGTCAGACCGCATCTGTGAAATGATACCCCTTAACGTAGAGCACGGTACTTCCGCAGGAAGCAAGTATGTCTTCCTGTGGGTTCCCCTGGTAGAGACGATACATTGGCCTGATGGGTGTACTGGTAAAACTCCCAGCAAGCTCCGCAACCTCAGTTTAGATACACCGATGTAGGCGACAATGTGGCAAAGCCCACATGCTGGCGTCTATCGGACGCGTTCTCATACGGTGGCGGAATGACTCCGGGACCCCTGTTTCAATCAATTACAAGTGTTGACTATCAATTCGTCTGTTTATTCTCCGCCCTTGTTTGCGGCTAGTAAGGTTTTGGTTATTGGATGTGAAAACCACTATGCGTGCATGTTAGACTAGCTCGACCTAGGGGTGCTATGTGAATGATAGAGGGAGCAACACGCTGCAGCGCTGTCTCCATTAGTATTGTAGTTTTATAAGCATCTCGGCGTCTTCGTTCGCTGCTTCTCATCGTGGTGTTCATTAGATCGTTATTTTGATCTGTACTTTTGTGTAGAAGTCTATAACCTCATATGAAGGCAATCCGGGCAATGTGGACTACACTATGTCCATTGAGGCAACATTGCCCAAGAAGATTATACTGGCCCTGTATTGAATGGGCGTACCCCGGGTGATGACAGAGGGAAGTCTCGGACAGAAGACCTTATGATGGCGATTGTTTGCGCTGTATACGCCTTTTTGCTTACCTCGTTTCAAGTGGGTAATTTAACGAGATGCGATAACTGGCGATTGTGGCGATTTTCGTAATGTCCATTCCTCGACGTCAGTTTATCAATGGCACAGGCTCTTGATTCAACTGAAGAGTGCATTTCGTTCGAATTGTGAAGCCACCACATCGCATCTTGAATCTTTATAGCAAACCTGCCCCCCTTGTCATGTAGAATATTGTCATAGTGTAGAGTAGGCTTCAGAACTTGTCATTATGTAACCTCTCTAAGATCAACCGATAGAGGCACTGGAACACTCCCTGCCTGTCATGGAACCTGTCTGGAACTGCATCCGAGGAGTCAACCGCCCGAGTTCTGATCTAGACATCCCCGATATTCCACCCATCTAACCAACCGCATTTACAATGTTTCGAAGATTCTTGGCCAGGTGTTCGAATGCATTAAAGGCCATTGCTGGTAGCCGCGGGTTATCGACCCGTCATATGCTCAGCTTATCTTCGCTATAAGCCGTGAATTTATGTGTTGAATTCCTGTAGTCGATTATCAACTGCGTTATTACCTCCGTTCGGCCAGACGTCGGTGTCATATAGGAACGTAGCATCCCAAACCCGATTGTCTTCAGTGCTATACAAACCCGCGGAATATGATGGAAACAGTCCAACTTGTACAGATACCGGTTCCTGGCTCCCAAAGGAGGCGCAATTCTTTCTAGGAGAGTATTGATGGATTGGAATTTGTCCAGGCTCGCTTTTGCTGTGGTTTTTCACACAGAGGAAACCTTGCTCATAAGCATGACGACATGGATAACTTCACAGCGAGCTGGGAAAGTCAAAGATGGAGCTCATCCCGAGCCCTCCGGGGGTTGAAAACATAGTGGTAATCATTGGAGCATTTTTCCGGGATAACAGGCGTGGTCTTTGAGCCGTAAAAAAGCCCAGTGTCGTCTAGGAAATGTCGCAGGAACATCCAGAAACTGTGATGGCTGGTCTTTCTAGATATCATGTGAGCTCAACACATCACAATTGCATACTACTGCGAGAAGAACTTTACTTCGGGCGATAGGATGGAGATTTTTGTATGCATCGCAGATCCAGTCGGGGATGGCTGGGTCCGCAAAGTGACCCCATCGTCATTGATTGCCATCAGGGTTACCTTTTTGCCATATCCTTGATTCTTGCTTTCTTAAGTGAAATTGAATGGATTAGCCCGGCATCTGACAAGAGAAGGGAGTCCTGACGGCTTCGATCGACCAACTTTCTTTGATAAAGGCCAACAGGGATACCGAAAATCTGCGTAGCAGCTAATTCCAACACGTCTCCGAGCATTACTCTGGTTTATTCTCATTTTCTGGACCCAAAGATACCCAGACTGACACACAATCAGAATTACCGTGTATGAGAAAATGAAAATGACTCGAGGGTCTAACAGCCGACGAAGCATGTGATGAGACCAGACGTCCCATGAAGACAGGTCAGCGGAAACATCTTCTGTTCGTGCTCAAACCTGGCCTAGGACTAGCATGTTAGTCCCGCGTACTCCGTAGAAGGACATCCGAATAAGGGATACATACCTTTCCTACCCAGATTCGACCAGATTCAAGTTCTTTGTATCATTCATTTTTCTGATCGAGGAGACGACACCCATCCTCGTGATGTGCTGGCGCCTTGGGAGTATGGCCAGGAAACGACCATACGACCAGGGCTTCTGTTTTTTCTTCTGCTTGATGAACTTCAGCAAAGAAATTATCGATTGTGGCGCATTTAGTAAAGTATCCATTTGTAAGATGAAAGAATCCTGCGACGTTGCCAGTCCTTGCTTTTACTTGGACCAAGTGCCCGTTTCTCGCTTTTCGAGCTATCTTCGTGGAACTTATTTCCTGCAATATAGTTAGTATATACTCATTCTACCATCCCAAGTTATACTCACTGTTGACTCTGGAAGTAATATCCATTTAAACCTCTTGCCTTCCACGCCGCTTTTTTCATTTGTGTACCGGCCTCCCACATTTCTAGGACAATATGGAAAGACTTGTTCTCAGGGGCATGCCTTTCGACCGTCCGCCTTGCCTTGGTCCACCGTACACACCCCGATGGGCACCTTTTGCTTGGGTGGTATTCTGCTGTAGAAAATTATATCCGGAACAGACTGGACAGAACATGGAGTAACAAGGCTGCCTTGCCGTAATAGATTTCTGCAACATTGTCTCGGCTCCAGAATCCAAGAACCAAGTGCCCCCATCACTTGCATGATGTCTTCAATCAGATCCCATAATTGGGCGAGGGCTCAGAGCCACTAATTATGCATGATAATCCATGCGTCGACGCGGAGAGCTTCACAGCTCGATCGGCATGTTCGAATATCTCTCAACAACACCATGTATCGTGAGCGCTCCATAACGGCAGTCAGAGAGCCATCTGGTTATTTCCACTGTTCACGCATGTGCTCACACACCCCAACTTTCGTTGAGGCATCTCGCTTTATCTGATTATTGCAATCTCGGGCATTTCAAGTAGCCCGCGCAATTACCATGGAATCCCCCCCCCCCCAAAAAAAAGGACAACATCACCTCGCTCCGGACAAGTCCGATCCAACAAATCCCGTGAATAAATCACAATCGGCAAATCCACGTAGCACTGTCTTGTCGTAAATGTTACCATCTGGGATATATAAGCCTGCTGTTCTGCAGCATTATGCTGACCGACCGAACAAAGGACAGCACCGCAGGTGCTGCAGAGTCTATATCTCACAAACATGCATACCTGTAAACGAAAGCTGCCATTTTTCTAGGTAAATTGTGCCGCTCTTCCTGTTCATAGTCAAAAGGAGGACCACCCGCGCACCTCCAGAATTAGCAAACCACCAGTTTACCCCCTTGTCTCATTCTCAGTCTCAGCAAAGACACTGGAATGCCCGCTTCTAAAGCATGACAAGATTTGTCGATAACAGCCCACCACCTGCACATTGGCCGGGTAGAATTTCCCCTTGGACCTTGGTCTACTTGCAGAAAACTCGTTCCCCTTTATCGATGAGGAAGAGTTGTTGACATTGGAACCCGCGACCTCGAATAGCCTGTTCAGACAGACTACCGTGTTGTGAAAGTGGGCGGGGGAAGGTTGTTTGCGATAAGTAGTATCATGGCATTTAGCCATGGTTGGGCCCGCGAACCGCATAGGTGTAGCGTGATGAATAAATCTTCAATAGAGCCGTGAATCCTTCGGATATGACTCTGAAGGGGATGCCGTCTAACGAGGTTGGCTTGTTCGTTAGAGCATCTTGGATCCTTTCTGGTAGGCTGAGGACCACAATATACTAATTGGAATTTTCATCGTTTTTATTCTGGTCCAGCTTCTCGAATACTGAGGTGTCTTCGTGGCGTGAGGATTTTATGTCTGTAGATGTGTGATGAACCTAGGTTTTTGACAGACATATTATCATGCTCTCAACTTTTGTCTTGTGTGAGGAGATAAATCTGAAGGTGTAGGGAAGGTGTAGGTCTTCTCATGTTGGAAACGGGATGATTGTGAGGATGATGGTTTGGTTGGGTTGTATGCGGAGAGGTTTGAGAGAAGGATGAGAAGGATAAGGTGAATGGATTTTAGCTTCCTTGAAGGAATATGGGAATTTGTTGAGCAGTTTTGAGTGAATGGAAGTCTGCAGGCTATGGAAAAACTACGAAGAATTCTACTCATGTCGTCTTCTAGTACTACATGTGCCCTAATTCAACGAAGACCACACTGACGGAGAGAGAGGGAGATGCATGAAATAACAGTAAAAGGTATTTAAGATCTAAGAACTAAAAACAAAAACAACAAATCTCATTCAATCGTTTGAAAGATTCATTCATCGTAGTCTTTTTTTTTTATTTTTATTTTTTTTTTAAACCGTCTCCGGACTTCCCCATCTAAGCAACGACCAAGCATTCACGCTCCCGCAACCCTCCCCGTATATCGTAACCCAATCAAACGCAGACAGTGTCTGCGAACAGTGGTCGATGTATTCGTCGAAATCGACATCGACATCGGTCTACTCGAGGCCTGGGCCTGTCGAAATATGCCCGACGGATGAGTCGTATTGTCGGGACTAAATGAACGATAAAAAGTGAAAACGCAAATGAAAAGAGATGTAAAGAGTGAGGAGAGAGGAGAGGTTGTAATGGTTTCCGTAAAATTCGCAAAGCCAAGCCAAGGGAGATTGTGATTGTAAGAGACAAGAGAGCAGGGTCCATTCGAAGTCGTACGGAATCTGATTATTTACTTTTTAGAAAATCCCGCTCCTTTCCCTTCTCTCGCATTAACGTTAGTCACTTGATAATAAAGCCAAGCAATCATAAGTAGCAGGAAGAAGAAAAAGAAATCACGCCCTTCTGCGCCGCTTGGCACCGCCACCACCTCCATCGTCCCCTTGAGGGTCATTACCTCCATGGTATTGGGAAGTGTGATCATCCACAGTGTTAGCTGGGCTGGTCCCTTCACTATCGGTGAGAGTTTCGATGACTCTATTTGAATCAAGTTCGGTATTGTTGTTGTTGTGATTGTGATTGTGGTGGTTCACGCCGTTGCCAGCGTTGTGACTTGCATCGACACCGATGCCGGGGTCATTGCCATAACCCGCATCAAACCCATTGAAGAAATTGGGATTCTGTTGATGCTGGTTTGATCCCTCGAAAAAGTCACCGTCAGCCGGAAGTTGGTCAAAGTCGAAGAGATCGTTAGCATCTTTTATCGTACCATCGTCTGTTCCGGCATTGGCATCTGGGTCGTGCGTGCCCTCCGGAACAGTGTTAGCCTGGTCGTTAAACTGGAGATTGGCTCTATTATGCTCGAGATCTCCAACATCGGTGAAGTAATCGTTGCTGAAGATCTGGTCAAGGTCAAGCGGGGGAGGGGGCACGTTTCCATTTTCATGCCCTATCCCGGGAATATTACCAGTTGGGCTGAGCGGTTGTAGGAGGTTAGTTAGGTTCTGCACGGAGCGGTCTTGTTCGGCTTGCATTTTCGCGAGGTTGTCGATTTCAGCGCGGGTGCTGGCCAGACGGCCCGAGTAGTTTTGCGGCATGGGTGGGGGATTGGGTGTGATGAGAGCGTTGTTATTCGTGGCAGACACGTTTGGATCGGCTGTGTTTGTCTCGTTGGCCATCAGTCGAAGCATATCGGCACGCTGGTTCGGGGTCAATGGCACATTGCCGCCAGACGTCTCGAGTGACGATAATACGTTGGGGAACTCTGCAAAACTTGTCGGGACCCCGCCACGGGCATTCGAATTTTGAATGACAGACATAATATCTCGTTGAGGGAATTCTTGGTGTTGGGTCGGTGTTGGATCTCTTGGTCGAGGGCTAATGTCAAAGACTTCTTCCACATGGCCCGGCCTTGTGCTACTTGGTTGTCGGCCATGGCCCCGTGCTTGTCGTTGATCATATGCACCGGAGGCAGGTGAGAGGGTCGCTGCACGGCTGTCTCTTTGTGCGGGTGGAGGTGCCTTCAATAACAGTGGTTGCTTCTTCACTGATCTCTGCCCTCCAGGACTACCCACGTTTCCCAACGCGCTGAAGGCGAAGTCATCTCCCACGTCAACAACGCTACCACTCCCTCCTTGGTCCTGCGAAATAGCCCCAGCGAATGAGTTGGAGAGATTTTGCGGTCCTTCTTGTCCTTGCAGACTCCGGTTGTAGACTGTTGCTAAGAAGGTTAAGATAGCATTAATCGAATTTTCGTGGCGTGTATGTTGTTCCTGGAAGTTCGCAGCTTGCGCATATAGTTGTTCGTGTTCCCGCCGGAGTTTCGTAATTGTATTGGAGATAATCTGTTGTTGCGAACGGATGGCTTGTAATTCGCGATAGACACCGGTGAATTGATCTTGTGGCATATTATTATTGGTAATCAACGAGAGTTGGCTCCGCGAGCGATTCCGATCATCACGAGAAACATTGCTGCCCTCATCGCCGTAGTCCTCCTCGTAGTCCTCAGCCTCCTCGGTCCTAATACGAGCGGTACCTTTCACGGCTTTGTTCCCTTGTCCCGCAGAGTTCCTGGGCTTCTGAATCAACCATAACAGGTCCGGATGACCACGCTTGAAGTACGGGTTTGCGTATTCGCTGGGGCTTTTATTTTTCCGTTCGCTGGCGCGCATCGAGTTATCCGACAGTCCAACTTTCTTATGGAATCCGTACATGTTCAATTGACGAACGAAAGAGGCGTAATTATTGTGTTTAAAGAGTTCGGGAATCAGGGTCCGTGCAAATTCATCTTCATCCAGGACAATAAACGAGTTTCCATCGTCGGACCATCGGATCAGTTCGGTATTTTTCGATTCATCGAGGAAACTGTAAGAATTCTCCAGTTAATACTTGACCTAGGTCAAAAATCATAGGGGAAAAAAAAAAAAAAAAAAAAAAAAAAAAATACCTGCTGAGCTTCTGCACAAACGGAGGAATCTGTTTCCTCTTTGCCTGAGCGTCCCTCTTCGCAATCGATGCCTTCCGGTAAAGTTCATCCAAGCTCTCGCCCCAACCGCCCGATTCCCCATTACCACCACCGTTCTCCGTCGTGGCCGTTGGAGATTGTTCATATCCACGGTTTCTGCTGACGAGCTGATTCGGTGTCGGTCTGCGTGCAAGCTGACTGGATGCGGGAGTTGTGGGAGCAGGGATATCTTGGCCTGGGGCGAACGCGGCGGGGTTATAGGTGGCGGCAGCGGCAGCGGCAGCAGCAGGGTCGGGATAATGCGCAGGCTGGTTGACCACGTTGGGCGCCGTATTTTGACCCCATTGTAAGAATTGATCGTTCGAGAGTTGAGCGCCAGGGTTGGGAGGGTAGTTCTGGATGGCACCCATAGGAGGAGGTGGTGGTGGGTGGACGATGGGGGATGCGCCTGGCGCTGGTCGTTTGCGGCTTATGCCTTGTGGACTCATCGCGTTCGCGCCCTACGGGTGAGACTGAGAAGTAGGTTTAGACTCGAACGCGAGTTATGCTGCTTTAGAGAGGTGGGAGACCCCCGATGGAATCACGGTCAAAGATAGAGCCGTCGTCGCTTCTCCGCGAAAAAAAAAAAAAATGGCTAAGCAAAAGTGAGGGTATGATAGCACAGTGGTATCACGAAAGCAAAAAGCAAAAAGCAAAAAGAAACAATGTATTGCAACAGCAAACTATCGTAAATCGTCGTCTTCAAGAGGTATAGAAGAGCTAAAGGCCTGGGCCTCGAGTAGAGTACCAGCAAGAGTAGTGTTGCGGGATGGCGCAACGGTAGAACTGCCAAAGCGGAGACGCGACAGGCGCGACAGGCGCTAGCCGTTGAGAAACAACAGTGGCAGACACAGTAAACAAGAGCAGTTGTTGAACAAGACCTCTATGTTCTTCTTGTCCAGACAGTGAGAATTGCTGCTCAACTGGGGGCGGAGGTTGTCGTAGCCAATGGTTTAAGGTGGAAGCGAGTTCTCATTCAAAGGCGGCGGCGGCAGTGATGATGTTTGCTCTGCACAGGTAAAAAGAGACACAGCCGAACAACAGAAACCGAGAGAAAGACGTTGAGGACAATTGCAGCAAGACCGGCGACAGGAGGATGAGTCCTTCTCACAGCAAATTGACTCACAGCGACTTGCCAAAAAAAAAAAAAAAAAAAGAAGAGTAACGCTGGATTGAGTCCAGGTGCCCCTCCGCGACTGCTGATTGGCTGCAGTGCTGACTCAGCACGTTAATTCCGAATCACGTGAATTCAGCGGAAAAAGGAAGCTCCTATTTCCGGCAATCTTATCTGATGTCAACAAACAACTATTTACATGTACCTCTACAGGGTACTTCTCACACCAAGCGTACTTTATCTACAGTTGACTTTTTCTCAATTCTTGGTTCTCCCGACGCGCCGGTATCTTGTTACCTATGAACAAACCAACGTGGTCCGGTGCTAGGCTTCTAGTCTTCTAGAAACTTCCCTAGGATTCGACCTAGGTCTTTGCGATTCGACTACCTTGACCGCTAACAAAATAAATATACGGTGCTGAGTATGGGGGCTGGTGCCGGTCAGATAGAATTCTCCGAAGCTCAAGACTCAGTGAGAAAGAGTGGGATTACGAGGAATCTCCAACCAGCCCTTGAAACCCTTCAATGATCTTAGACCACAAGGCAGGCTGCTCCTCGATGAACTTCTCGACATGCTGAGGCGCAACCAGATCCGCAACCATGTGATCTTTGTTTGTCGTCCCGTTCAGCAGCGTGGTTTTCCCTAGTCCCAGAACCAGACAGTACAAAGCGGCAGCCGGGCCGATCTTGGCCTGCAAGGCAAGTTGCTGGACAGGGTTGCTGCGAGCGAGTTCCGGGTTGGCGGTTAGAGTCCAGAAACTCTGATACAAGATGTCATTTTCCCGACAGAACGCGCGCAGCGGGACATCAAAACCTGTCATACTGTAGAATCGGTTCTGCACGACTGCTGGTGGTACGTTGACCTGGGACGAAAGTTCCTTGAGTACGGGTAAGGTGCAGTTGGAGATACCTAGATTGCGGATGCGATGGGGGACGTAAGACTCAAACGCCTTCCAGGCTTCGATGGTCTGCGCCAACGTCGACAGGGGAGAATGCAAAACGAGCATGTCAATGTATGCATCGTCCACACTCTCCGGTCCTGCAGATGGCCGGAGATTATGCAGCGAGGACTTGATAGACGCATGCGCCTGCTCCGTCACCGAAATCCTGGGATCATACGGCATATTCTCGGGATCCTGTCCCTGCACCGAAGTAAACTTGGTTTGAATCTAACCACCAATTAGCACAAACACCAGGGACATTTCTAAAAATGGACACCCACATGCAGGTCCTCTCGTCGGACTGAGCCGTCTTGAATAGCTCTGCGGATGCCTTCTCCCACCAAGTCCTCCCGGTAATGCTTCGGCTGGGCAGCCGTATCCACCGCACGGAACCCAGACTGCAGGGCCTGATGGACTAGATCCGCCGTGCGGTCTTTCTTCCAGGCCGTACCGTAGATGAAGATGGGGAGTGTGGCTGGAGGTGCGTTTTGGACTGGGCATAGAGCGTATTTTTCCCAGGACATTTTGCCAATTGCGCGGGCCATTTTGCTATCTTTATTACAAGGGTGTGTTTGTTTGATAGTGTAGTGGTGGTGTACTATGAAGTGAAGTTAAGATGAGTGGAGGCTTGACCTCATCCTGACCTAAGCACTGCAGGTCTATTTTTAGCCACAACACAACACACCCTATCTATGTACTACATACTTTCACACTGCAAAAAATATCAAAAGAAGTCATTCTAAGAGACAACCACTCACTGGTATATCGGCAATCCCAACCATTCAAAATCGTGATACAATAAATTACACAGCGGGTATATCCTCCGAACCTACACCCACCGACCAAATCAAAATGTACAGCATCCCATCCAAAACAAGGCAACACACTTTTTATCTCTTTAACTGGCCCAGCAAACAAAAAGAGTACCGGGGTCTTCGATGTATACCGACGTTTGACATATCCGAATTCGGATCTAAATATAGTGAGGCTGTGCAGGGCGCCGGCAAACCAGCATCTGCGATTTGGCGGGTGGAGTACATGCAATAACCTAAGTAGATTTTTTTTTTTCTGGGCATGGGATCGACATGCTAATTAGAAAGTTTGTGATAAGCGAGTTTTGTGATAAGGTAAGTGATATTTCCAGGTGCTGGGCGAGGGTGGGATACTACATGTTCTACTTCAGCGTACTTGTACGGAGTACTGTCGGATATTGGACATAGAACACCAACGCGGGTTGGTAAGAGCATATATTATAGCTATAGTGCAAGGTGAACATTCCTACATCTTATTCTATATCAAAACCAAGCACCACGGAACATCTCCGTACATCAAGCATACCCTAATCGGCAAAACCCAACCGCAGGGCCCAGGGTCCAAGCGGCATGCAGATTCAATTCGGCAAAGTATTCTCCGCATTCCTCACAAATGCAGAAATGATGGACATGACAGCAGCGAGATGTATACTAGGCAGCGTTGTTTGTTGTCCTGGGATTGGTATATCACGTTTTTGGCATTTGGTTGTCTTGGATTAGTGGGTTGGTGGGTGGTTGCTATAGATGTCGGGTGTCTGTATTTAGTATACTGGAGGAGATGGGAAGTAATGGTATGAAGGAGGTAAATATAGAAGCACTACGAGGACGAGGACATAAATAGCCCTCGTCGCACGAGTCCAGCATCAGCATCAACAACACCAATTTCCTCATCACCACCTTCCCACAACCACTCGCAAACAAACAACCCTCACCATGCAAATCAAAAACCTCATCCTCCTCTCAACTGCCCTGCTCACCAGCAGCCTGGCCCTAGCCAGCACCCTCGACAGCGACGACGTCCCCAACCGCTGCTGGCAAGTTTGCGGTCCCGTAGTCGGCATCTCGCACAAATGCGACGCGATGCATGACAATGACTCGGCGGAGAGAAAGTGTGTCTGCGAGTGGCAGCAGGCGCCGACGCTGGTTCCCTTGTGCGAGGCTTGTATTTCACAGTATCGGAATGAGACGAAGCATGATGATGATCGGGATGATGATGACCGGGACAACGATCGAGACGATGATCGAGACGATGATCGAGACGACGACGATGACCGAGATGATGATAACGATAGAGACAACGATAGAGACAACGATAGAGACAACGATAGAGATAACGACCGTGATAATGACCGGGATGATGACGACGACGATGACCGGGACAATGACCGTGACTCTCGTACCAAGCTCTCGATTAAGCGCTCCACCCGCAAATCCAAGCGCGACGACCCCCACGACAACGGTAAGCAAACCCTACTCCCTTGGCCCATTCATCCATTCCAACTAACACTACCAGACGCCAACGACATCCTCCGCGCCTGCTCCTTCACAACCACCAGCTACAACCCAACCGCCGCAACCTCCGCCATCAGTGCTGCTTCGACTCTGATCCCAAGCACTTCTGCGACTGCAACCGGTTCTAGTTCTAGCTCTAGCTCTGCCTCTGGTTCTAGGTCAGGCTCTGGCTCTGCTTCTTCGACTGACAATGACACAAATGCGGCATCGGGTCAGGGTGTTCCCCGGGCTGCGAGTTTGGCGGCTGCTGTGGGGTTGATTGGTTTGGTTTGGTCGTAAATCGATATGATCATGGTGAATTGGGTATAGTTGGTCATGTGAATGAATGTGTGGCATGATGGAGGTGGAAGTTATGCTGGATGATGATGAGTTATGTTTGTCATGACATGGTCTTTCTTTTATTATTTGATATCCTGTTATTGAGTTGGTTTGGTATACCATGGTGGTCATATCTGACGTTCGTTCGTTCTAAACAATGCAAATTATTACAACTAAATCGGCCCATCAGTAACACACCCATGACTAGCATCACTAACCAACAACGCATACTTCCTCAAAGTCCCTTTCCTAGCCCTCCCCTCCGGCGCCCTCCACTCCCTCTTTCTCCTCTCCATCTCCCCATCCCCAACAACCAAATCAACAACCCTCTCCTCCGCATCAATAACAACCCGATCCCCGTCCCTCGCCAACCCAATCGGCCCCCCTTCCATCGCCTCAGGAACAACATGCCCGATCAAAAACCCATGACTCCCACCCGAAAACCGCCCATCCGTAATCAACGCAACATCATTCCCCAACCCAGCACCCATAATCGCCGCACTGGGCTTGAGCATCTCCGGCATCCCAGGCCCGCCCTTGGGTCCCTCGTAGCGGATGATAACGACTGTTTTCTGACCCTTTTTGATGTCTCCGCGTTCGAGCGCCTCGATGAATGCGTCTTCGTAGTCGTAGCATTTGGCCGTGCCTTCGAAGCGGAGGCCTTCTTTGCCAGTGATTTTGCCCACCGAGCCTCCCGGGGCCAGTGAGCCGCGCAGGATCTGGAGATGGCCGGATGGTTTGATGGGGCTGGTAAGGGGACGGATGATGGGTTGGGAGGGCGGGAAGTCCGGCCATGAGGAGACGTTTTGTTTCATTGTTTTACCGGTCACTGTGATCCCTGAGCCATCGATTAGGTTCTCCTTAAGGAGGAATTTGAGGAGCGCGGGTGTGCCGCCTATCTTGTATAGATCGTGCATGACGTGTTTGCCGGAGGGCTTGAGGTCTGCTAGGAAGGGTGTTTTGTCGGATACGGCTTGGAAGTCGTCGATTGTTAATTTTATGCCCACGGCATCGGCCATGGCGATTAAGTGGAGGACGGCATTCGTGCTGCCGCCTAGGATATTCACGACGATCATTGCGTTCTCGAATGCTTGACGGGTTAGAATGTCGCGTGGACGGATATCTTCTTTTAGAAGATTCTTGACTGTCTCCCCGATATTCTCACACTCGGCTTGTTTCCTCTCATCCTCTGCCGGACAGCTACTGCTCCCCGGGACCGTCAAGCCCATCGTCTCAATCGCCGTCGCGAGCGTATTCGCCGTATACATACCTCCACAAGCACCAGCCCCAGGACACGCATTGCGGATGATATCAAACCGCTCCTTCTCATCGATCTCGCCAGTGATATACTGCCCATACGACTGGAAAGCACTCACAAGATCCAACGTCTTCCCCTTCGAACTGCACCCAGGCTTAATACTCCCTCCATAAACCATAATACTCGGCCTATTCACCCTTCCCATGGCCATAACCACACCGGGCATATTCTTATCACACCCCGGCAGCGAGATATTCGCATCATACCACTGCGCATTCATCACGGTTTCAATCCCATCGGCAATGATTTCCCGACTCTGAAGACTATACCGCATCCCAGACGTCCCCATGCTAATTCCATCTGACACACCAACGGAGTTAAAACGCATGGGAACCAGCCCCGCGCGGGCGACAGAGTCACGGACATTTCCGGATAAATCGAGGAGGTGCTTGTTGCAGGGATTTCCTTCGAACCAGATGGAGGATATCCCGACTTGGGGCTTTTTCATGTCGGATTCTGAGAGGCCAGTTGCGTAGAGCATTGCTTGGGAGGCGCCTTGGGATTTGGGTTGGGTGATTTTGGAGGAGACTTTGTTGAGGGTGTCATCGTGGCGGTGGGGGGTTGTGGAGAGGTGACTATTGTGTAGAGGGGGTTGAGTTAGAGGTTGATTTGTGTTTCGAGTAAGTCTTTTTTTGGGTTGGATGCTCACGCTTTGATCTGGGTCTTGGATGGTGCTCGCGGGAGAGCCCTGGCGCGGAGGCTTGCCAGGGTCATGGTTTTTTGATCTTATATGTACTTCCAAAGAGACCGAAGTGGCTGCCAATGATAAATTCTCAATGAGATAAGATGTATGCCCAGCGAGAAGAGAGAAGAACGATGAATGTGCCTCTAGATGAAAGGAGAGGAAACGAGGGCCTTTTTGAAGCCAGAAATAATGAGTCAATTGCAAATACGAGAAAAGAAATAGTCACAGGATGATACTAAACACTGTGGACCGACTATAATGGCCAATTCTGGACCAGTGATTGGCACTGCATGATTTCTGGTACTCCTGTACTTCTCCGGAGTTGTGTCCCAACTCCGAAGGTGTGGCCTGAGGCAACATAAAACGATGAGTCGTGACGTGCCCGAACCCTAACTAGTGCCAGCCTACCTCGCAATTAACTACACACACGGACAACCGGAATACCATCGGTCGGTTGCTACAAGCTCCAGTTCCAACATACAGTCTAAATTTCCCAGCTAGACGACGTACTTATCTCCCTCAAACGTACCGGGGGCCGATCCGTTTCATCCGCTCTCTCTTCTTTCTTTCTCTCTTCATGATAGTTTTTCTTTTAAAAAGTTTACCAATGCATTGTTTTTCTAAGCGAGACCATCACAGAAGCGCTGCCTTATGCTGATTCCTCCCTCTCTCGCCCCGACTAGGTCCTCAGACACCCTGTTGTGCCGGCGACTCACCCGAACAAACTGTATCCACTTCGACAACTCGGCTGCTCGACGATATCTTCAGTGTGCCCGGCGGTTGTAGTCTTGAAACAAAGGAGACAAAGGACATAATAGAAGCAAACATATCCAATTCAGTATATCATTTGCAGGCCGTAACAAGGCCCTCCTTTCGAAAAGAGATTAAAATACAAGAAAGTGTGCAGCTAAATTCCACTTGCACTAGTTAAATCAAGCGTGAGAATTGAAACCCTTCCAGATACATGACCAAGAGCAAGAATGTTATCTTTCACCGCCCAGCATTGAGGACGGTACTGTGGAGGAATCCATAACAATTTCTTATCCTGAAGATATACCCACTGATTTTGCACTACATGCATCCCAGCATTGACGCCTGCCCACTCCGAAATGGACTGACCCTTGAGATACTGCTGCAACTCACCTGTGGTGGGATCCCAGAGTGTAATTATTTTATCATGAGGTTCCGATGCCGCCAGCAGTTGATGTGGATCAGGCTATGGCAAGGAACGGCATCGACGATACTATTGTATTCTGTGTCTGTGTAGATGGATGAGGGTTGATCTCCTCTATCCGGCAGTTGTGTGTGGGCTCGCTAGTGCGGGCCAATCAGGAGCGGGGCATATTGGAGCCTGAGGCTCTCTAACAGTTGACCATCTGATTATTATTATTTAATCAAGTTTATTGTCCATACCGAGCCCTAGAGCTATGACAGACCATTATCCGTGGACTTGAGGCCGTTAGCTATTCTACAGTCTCTTATCCCTATAAGTTCCTGGGGCACTAGCCCCCTTCCATACTCTTTCTGATCCTTTTCCTCGCCCCAGACCGCCTGTTTGCGCAGGGCTTTCGAGCACAGTGCTCTCCTTGTGTTTCGTGCGGAATGGGTGCGGCCTAGGCTGACTCCAGCTTAGGCTACCCTTCCTGCTATCCTTCTCCTGTTCGAATTGCCTCCTCCAATGCTTCCAATCCCCATTCATCGTCCCTTTGGGCCCTTTCTGCCGTC